CAGCCTGGTCTAACTGGGATGTAAACAATCAAACCTCACTTAACTGTCTGTTGTACTTATGGCACTGTGGCACCCAGAGTTTGCCACCAGCTGAAGTGTCAAGAAGCCCCAGGATCCTCCTTCTGGTCCAGTATTACTTGGAGGCACATCTCCATCAGAAAACAGATCGAGGCAGGGGGACCAGCTCCAAAACACTTCCATTATTCTATTTGCTAATCATTTTAAGAGTCAAAATTGTGATTATGGACAGAGGACATCTTGGCATCACTGAACCTACTTGCCTCACAGGCTTCTTGTCAATCTACAAACCCCCACCTGGAGTGTGTGGGTCGAGGCAAGTCTGAGTTTCTGTTTCTCACCTTCCTCCAGAAGCAAGTGGGCTTCTAGAAACCACAGTGGGGCAGGCTGGTGAGGCCCCTGCCTCAGGCAGGTGCTGAGGAAAGTGCTGGGAAGCAAAGGGGGCAAGGAAGACGAGCGAGCAGAGTCTGGAGGCAGCCGTGACGGTGCCCAGCTTCACCCGGTCCAGGCCGTCTGAGTGCCCTGAGCCTGGTTTCCTCACCTGTGAAATGGGGGTAATCATAGCACTGACAGCTTGGGGTAGTTTGAGACGGCAGGATACACGCTGAGGGTCTGGCATGAAGGCCAGTGAGGATGCTCAGCGTGCTTCCCTCTGAAGGAGCTGTGCGACCTTCTGAAAGGTCTCCCAGTCTCTGCCAAGCTACACTTCTCTCTTGCTCACTCTTCTGCCTCCCAGGCAGATGCCGTCAACACCCCATCCAGATCCTTCAGCACACCGCAGTTCATCTCAGACAGCCCCTACATCTCTGTGCCCAAGGATGCTCCCCAGGGAACAAGACAGGATGGGACAGGTGGGAGGTGGGGATAACTGCCTAGGAGTTGAGGGTCCTTGGACCTTCAAGCAAGAAGGAATGGGGATTAATAGAGCAACCTGGGATGAATTACAAGTGGTTCTTTAGAGGGTCCCCAGGATCGTGCCTCAGTGGCCCACAGTGATGACCTACTTGTTAATATGCTCTAATTGGCTGTCTTCCCTCCCTTGCTCCCCTCCCTGTGCTTCCTGGGATCATCTCCCACATAAACTGCTCGTACCCAATCCTTGTGTCAGGGTCTGCTTCTGGGCAACCCAAACTAAGACACTCCCCATCTACAATGCTCTTCCTCTTCTGTCTGGCTGTGGAAACCTTGCTCATCCCTCAAGGCCCAACTAAAAGGCCACCTCCTCTGAGAAGCCTCCCTGAATGCTGTTAGAAACAACGCACCTTCCAGAACCTTCCACTGGTATATGTCCCACTTTTCTTCTGTCTGGCACATGTGCTATTTTACTGTGTCACCATCAGTCTGAGTTATTTCTCCCTATGCTGGCTGAGATCTCCATGAGCACAGAGCTGGTTCCTAGGGCCTGTTTCACCTCATGTCCTCAGGTAACCTCTGCCAATTATTGCAACTTCTATTGTTACTAGTAATTAATATTTACTAAGCACTTAAAATGTATGAAATACTGGGGCCGCACCTGTGGCTCAAAGGAGTAGGGCACCAGCCCCATATGCCAGAGGTGGCAGGTTCAAACGCAGCCCCAGCCAAAAACTGCAAAAAAAAAAAGGTACGAAATACTTTACATATAATGTTTATACCCAAACCTCACAACCAGGTGAGAGCCCTAAGGAATTTTTTTTTTTTTGCAGTTTTTGGCCAGGGCTGGGTTTGAACCTGCCACCTCTGGCACCTTACTCCTTTGAGCCATAGGCACCGCCCAAGGAGCCCTAAGCAAGTAAAATCATCATGCCCACTTTAGAGGTGGAAAAACTAAGGTGAAAAGATAAGTAACTTAGAGAAAGTCTCACAGTCAGCTAACTCAGACCCGCAGTTCTTCACCACTATGCGCCTGACTCAGCTTGTAATTGACTCAACTAGTACTTGCCCTGGTCCCCATCAGTGAAGAATTAACTCAGTCACAGGTGAGGCCACTCTGTCAGCTCCAAGTTGACTCTAGCCGAAGAGCTGGCCATGCTCCCTGAGCCCCCTTCACTTTGTCCTAGAGGCCAGGGTTGGGGAATGACCACAGAGTCCACCAGGTGAGGAGCAGAAGAAACAGGCCATGTCCTTAAGGACATGCCCAGAGATGAAGAGAGGAGAAACCTTCCAGAGCAGCCTATGACAAGCCACTTTATAAGCCCATAAGCAGCCTCAGGACCCGCCAGCCTCCAGGTTTTGGGATGATTCAAACATATTACATTTATTGTATGCCTTATTTCTATTATTATTACATTGTAATATATAACAAAATTATTATACAACTCACCATAATGCAGAGCTTGTTGTCCTGAGCTTGTTTTCCTACAACTAGATGGTCACAGCACTAGCATGGAGTCAACCACCTCAGCTCCACCTCTGATCATCAGGCATTAGATTCTCAAGAGGAGCACATGACCTGGATTGTCACACATGCAGTTTACAGCAGGGCTCGGGCTCCTGTGAGAATCTAAACTGCTGCTGATCTGACAGGAGGGGAGTTCAGGCCGTGATGTGTGTGATGGGAAGAGCCTGGGCTGTACATCTTGATGAGTCTTCCCTTGCTTACCCCTGGCTCACCTCCTGCTGTGTGGCCAGGTTCCTAACAAACCACGAACAGGTTGGGAACCATAGCACTGCAGGATTCCTTTTACCTCACGTTCAGAAACATGTAACATAAGCCATGCTGTGAGAAGTCATGATAGTGGTTTCTCTTGGAGGGAAGAAGTGGGTGACCAGAAGGACAATGACTTCTAGGGACTGGAAATAGTCTATTTCTTGGTCTGGCTGCTAATTGCAGGGTGTGAACTTTCTAAATCCACTGATCCAAGCACTTGGGATCTGTGCACTTTGCTGGATGTATGTTACGCTGAAATGAAAAGTTCATGTTGAAGAGTTTTAAAAAAGGAAAGAAGTAGGAGTCTGAGGTGGGTGGACTGCTTAAGCTCAGGAGTTTGAGACCAGCCTGAGCAAGAGAGACACCCTGTCTCTACTAAAAATAGAGAAACTAGCTGGGCATGGTGGTGAGCGCCTATAGTCCCAGCTGCTTGGGAGGCTAAGGCAGGAGGATTGCTTGAGTCCAGAAGTTTGAGGTTGCTGTAAGCTATGATGATGCCATGGCACTCTACCCAGGAGGACAGAGAGAGAATCTTTCACTCCCCCCTAATAAAAGGTAAAAGAAATCTTTTAGGGTGCCAACTTACTCTCTAAGGTGGAGGGCACGCTTCCCGGGCTTAGGAGGCAGCCCATGGCCAGTACTCCAAGAACAAACAGGCATGAATGAACTATGAAAGAAAATGGACACAGAGGACCTGAGAACGGCCGCGTAGAATAGCTGCGAGCTCCATCTGGAGAGAGGTGTCAGCACTTCCCTACCCCCACTAAAGTGCCAGGGGAAACCCTACCTCTGCAAGGGCTTGAGGTGCCAATCAGGAGGCTGTCAAGGGCAGTAGCAGCCTGGATGGGGTGGAGTGGGTCGGGAGGGACTGGGTGATCTCAGGTGGGCTGTGACAGGATGAAGTGGATTGGGCCAGGCTTGGAAAAGGGGACCTAGACTGCGGTGGCTTTATATGATGCCCTCAAGATGAGACACAGAGTCTGGATGTTATTCTGTCCAGAGTTGGGGGTTTCCTAGCAGGGATGTGGCATCCTTCAAATTCTCCTCAAGGGATTACTCTGGCACAAGTACAGACTACGGGGCTCATGCAGGGAGGCTTGGAGGCCAGATGTTTCTAAGATCAAAGTGATGAAGCTGTGGCTAATCAGCAGGCTTGGGAGGGAGGCCACAGGGTACCCCCAGGATGCTGTGAAATGGAGCAGTGAGCCTCCGGACCCACACTTCATATGTCAGGAGA